AGGACTGAATTGATGTGTTCAATTAAGTTATATGTCAAATAAATATGAGATCGAGAAACCAACTGCTGGACAATTAGTTCCATGAGATTGTCCGCACAATATCTAAACAGAGGACTGTACGATCCCTTATCTAAAGGATAGGTTACTGATGAGATCAGAGTTGACAGCGTCTTTGAGAGCTACGATTGCTAATCGGATTGTGTTTGCATTTTATAGTTACTAGACTTAGACTGTTGGATTAATGTCTAAGGCTGTAACTATATTTGGTAATTACGTGACCCGGTTGTGCATGGTCCTTTTGGGTTGCCTTCACCATAGCAACTTGACAAGGTGATTTATATAGAGAGAAGATATATTATTATTAATGTATTATAAGAATAATATGTTAAAGGAATAATAATATTATTTGATTGATATAAGTCATAAATTAATTAGGAATTAATTTGGTGACTTAAAGAGATTAATTAAATAAACGGGCATAAATTGTCAAATGTGTGATAGTTTTGTTTTAGGCTATGAATCCTTATGGATATGGGAAGGGACGATTTTAAGGATATGGATATTCTAGAAATCGTCCAAGGCCCTATCTAGAAGGATATTTGGATTGCTTTGAGGCTAAGTTATCCAATTAGGGTTTAAGGTAAATCCCTAGGAGCTCATAGTATAAAGAGACCCTTAGGGAAGGAGAAATCGGCCACTCTATGTTTGAGGAAACCCTAGAGCCGATTTCTCACCTCTTCCTCTCTCTCAAATCATCTTGTTGCTAGTAGGTGTTTGTAAGCCATTAGAGGAGTGACAATTGTGACTCTAAGCGATGATTCAAAGTCTTGGATTTCATATGTTACAAATTGTTTGTTTACACTAGATCTATGATTCAAAGTCTTGGATACAAAGCATGTTCAATTAGAGAAACCTATATCCAAGCAATAGGGTATGCATGTGCACATAGGAAAGTTCTTATGGCTTAAACCCATCAGTTATGTGATAGTAGTAGGGGTGAAATAGTCCCTAACTATCGGTCGATAGGACCACAAGGGTAGTTTAGTACCCAGTCATGCTAGTCAGCTTATGATATATGTGATATGATATTATGTGGTAGTAGTAGGGGTGAAATAGTCCCCGGTTACCAGTCGACATGACCGAAGGGGAGGCTAGAACCCAGACATGCTAGGCAGTATCCGGTTGACATGACCGAAGGGGAGGCCAACACAGAGATAAGCTAGGCATTATCCGGTCGACTGGACTGAAGGGGTAGGTCGGCACCCAAATATGTCTGACAGTATATGTATGTTATGTGATTTTATGGTATGTAGTACGATGGGGGAACTCACTAAGCTTTGTGCTTACAGTTTTCACTTTTGTTTCAGGTACCTCTTCAGCGAACGGGAGGGATCCGGCGCGGTAGCTGCACATCATACACACACCTCAGATTCCGCATTATGAGATTCCTTGGGATTGTACTCCGACATTATCACTATTTTATGATTTGGATTTCAGACATTATGCATAGTTTTATGAGATGTAATGATTCGACAATGTTTCCCTACGGATGTTTTAATTAAAGTAATTTATAAAAATGAAATTTTTGGTCGTGAAAATTGGGTTGTTACAAGTTGGTATCAGAGCCCTGGTTTGAGGGATTCGGACATACCCTCGGGGATGTCTGGACCCAGATCGAGGGATTAAAAGATTTTTATAAGAAAATGGTTTTCTAAAAGATAAGTTAAAGGATTTTTGAGAAAGAACGAAGTGTGTGATGTGCGCGACCTGCCGAGCTCAAGTAAGTATTCCCCAAAGTACCCATACAAGTTTATGTTGTGTTTATCAGCTTTAGTAGGACAACATGCTAGAATAGGATTAAGGATCTAGGAATGAGGCCTTATGTGCCTACTTTATGTGTTTCAGCTTATGTGAATTGCATGCTAGTATTGAGTAGACAACAGTAGTATAGCCGGTTTATGTTATGCCTGAGAGTATGAGCTTAGCACTGTATGCTAGTACAGGTTCCTGTTATGAGGAGTAGGATTGCTTGAGAACGTTCCTTTTGTCTGAATACTGCTTGCTTTTTGATTTGTGGGACTCTGAGTGATATTGAGTATATGTGAAGGTCGTATAATAAGTCTAATGATCGTCTTGGATATCGTGCCCACATGAGGCTCTTTCTTTGATGTAGTTAGTTTTGTTTTGTGCCTAGTAGCTTCTTGCTATCCCTTATAAAGTTGTTATTAAAAAAACTAGCACATGTGTAATGAGCACTTTCTTGCTACCACTTTCTGTTGCTAACAACATTGCCAACTTTTTTTTATAATAAGCAACAACATTAGTATAAATGATGATAATCATCAAAACAATAAAGAACAATGGATTTAGAAAAGGATAAATTGGCGAAAGTCGATAATAAATAAAGAAACTAGAGATAAAAAGATATATAAAAATGACTAGAAAGGATTTACTTATAGTCATGTTCAAGCCTTCAAGGAATCTTAACGATCCTAAAACTTCTAAGTAAAACAAAGTAACTCCATAGACTTAGTAATCTTGAAAAACCATGTAATCAACTACCCAAGCAATGGAATTTTGGATATTTCTTCCATAATTTTGGAATGATTTCCATATAGAAAATAAATCAAATATGAATAGCAATGATTCTTCCTAGGTGTTGTTGGTTAGTTTTCTAAATTACCCATCATTACACAATGAGGTGTAGGAGGAACAGTCTTTGTGGAAAGGAAACCTAAGAATTGCTTAGGGTTTAAGCAAATAGAAATTCGTTGGTGATTACCAAGGGAATGCCTACAAACTTCTAAAAATACATAAAATTAACTATTTCGTTAAAATTTTGTCGATGTTATGTCGGTAATTTCCAACGGATTTCCAACCACACTATATTTATTCGTTATTTAGTCGGCAAATTAAGATTTTCGTGTTACATGTCCTATCACTAGTAGACAAAGGATTTATTGATGCAGTTAAAATGATTGATGGATGCGGGTACTGAACAACACCAAAAAATATCGCATAAAAAATACCCTTATTTAATGGTGCGGTTCCAAAACCACACCAAAAAATAGCTAAAATCGCTCCAAAAAATAGTCAATACCGCTTAAAAAATAGCAAATATCGCACCAAAAAATTGTCAAAACAACCTCAAAAATACCTAGCTAAAACAACACCAATTAACATGTTTGCCATTGATGCACACCACGCTACTTATGAAGCTTCACTTTCTTGTATTTAGGTATGTTCGATGAGTGTTTTTCAATCAAAGGTTTAATCATCATTTCTTTTTCTCCAAAAAGGGTGGTTTCAATCTCTGCAATTTCTTTTTCCCTATCAATTAAAAATCTATTCTTGGAAAATCACATTTCATCGACGTTGTTTTCAATTTCTTTTTAGACATCTTAAAACCCACTCTACAAAAACTAGCTCTATACCCATTGATTGAAAGTTACTGAAGCAAACATCATAAGTCTTTGGATCCCTTTTTGGAGATATATCATGGAAGAAAAGGCATATGCAGAGATTCAAAACAAGGAAAATCGTTAAAAGTTAAAATAGTACATCCATTTACAATTAATAAGAGAAAAATGGAGACACAAATGCCATTAATGAAAAAACATAAATAATGGACATAACTTTTTTTTTTGAACCGACAAATATATATATATATATATATATATATATATATATATATATAATCTACTCTTAAATTAACACCTAATTCCACCTATATCCACGATGGGACTTGAACCCTCGACCTCAAGGTGGGAGGGCACCACCTGATACCGCTGAGTTAAAATACCTCACATACGCTTTCAAGCGTGGAATCGACAAATCTATAATTATGAAGAAGTTGCATATCAAACGTTATATAAAAGAGGGAAGATTGAATGGAAATTTTGGAAAACATGAAAATTTTGAAGGAAATTTGGAGGGATCTAGCGCAAAATGAAAAATTTGAATGAATTTGTAGAGGAAAGATTAATGGTGCGGTTCAATATATTTTTAGTGCAAATTGGTTTTTGGTACTGTTCAACATTTTTTAGTATGAATTATTTTTGGTGCGGTTGTAATTGTTTTTTGGGACGGTATCCACATGATTTTTTGGTGAGGTTTCAGAAAACTGAATCAGAAAATGCTTTAATGATGCAATTTTGGAAAACCGCACCAACAAAACTATTTTATAGTGTGATTCTTTTATTTTTTGATGTTGTAGCTATTTAATAAGATGGTTTTTAGAAGAGATCGAATCAAAAAATAAAAATCACTCGCATTATTTACTTGTGTACTAGTGTATGAAATTAGGTCGTGATTTCTAATGGAAAATTCCACCGGTGATTTTAGCCCCTTTTCAATGCTAAGAGATTTATGAAATGTTGATAAACCGGCCATTATTTAAATTTGAATCGTATTTATTTGCATATTACAAGTGAGAGATCTATTGATGGCTAATTTAATTTCTTTGAACCGCCATTGATAAACCATAAAACAAATTAAAACTAGGAAATACAAACAAGAGCACGACTACAACACCCATTGTTTATTTCAAAATTTTACCTATATATTAATTACATAATACAGGTGAAGAATCCGTAGAACATGTTCTAGTAAGATGTCCTTTTTGCAGCATTTTTAAAATGGTGCAGCATTCTCCAAAGGCATTTTTCAAAAAAGGCGGAAGCTGTTATCTATTCTCTATGGCTTCCTTTGGCGAATTTGGAAGGTGAGAAATGTGAACCTTGTATCTTTTGCCCCCGGTTAGCTCCTTGCTCATCGGTGGGCTTTTTTATTTTATTTTATTGGTTGTTTCCAAAAAAATTAAATAAGCTTCGTTAAAGTGAAGTTTAAGGAATATAATTAATGTTTAATAGTCATAAAAAGGAGGCCCCGTTTCTTTTCTTTTGACATATATAGCTCACTATTAAATGTAGGAGGACGAAGGGCATATGGAATGTAATAAATACACCCGATATCCCCTTTGGTATGCATGAAGAAACAACATGAACCCCTTGGACAATGAAGAATTCAGGAGGCAAGGCCATATGGTTATAGACTTCCTTGCCGATTATTACAAAAACATCAACAATTACCCTGTCCGAAGCCAAGTCAATCCCGGCTATCTAGCAGAAAGGTTGCCTGAATGCGCCCCATTGCTCCCAGAATCAATTGAAAGTATACTCAAAGATGTCGATAAGGATATTATTCCAGGCTTAACACATTGGCAAAGTCCAAACTTTTATGCCTACTTTGCATCCAGCACAAGCACCGCAAGCTTTCTTGGTGAAATGCTTATCAATGGGTTCAATGTTGTAGGGTTTAATTGGTTATCTTCTCCTGCTGCCACTGAGCTAGAGATCGTGGTCATGGAGTGGTTGTCAAAACTACTTCGACTTCCCCAGTCCTTCTCATTCTCCGGCAATGGTGGAGGTGTTTTGCTTGGCACTACGTGTGAGGCCATCATTTGCACCATGCTTGCTGCAAGAGAGAAGATGCTTGATCAAATCGGAAGGGAAAACACAGAGAAGCTTGTTGTATACTGTTCCGACCAAACCCATGTTTGTCTCGAAAAGGCAGCCAAAATTGTTGGGATAAATCCGGAGAATGTTCGAAAAGTCTTGACAACCAAGTCGACAAACTATAAACTCTCCCCACAACGACTTGAAGAGTCGATTAAAAGAGACGTTGAAGCTGGTTTAATTCCGTTGTATTTATGTGCTACTGTTGGAACAACGTCAACCACAACTGTTGATCCATTGGGACCCTTGTGTGAGTTGTCAAGCAAATATAATATGTGGGTTCACGTGGATGCTGCATATGCCGGAAGTGCTTGTATCTGCCCTGAGTTTCGTCATTTCCTTGATGGTGTAGAGGGTGCGAGTTCCTTCAGTTTTAATGCACACAAATGGCTCCTGACTAATCTTGCTTGTTGCTGTCTTTGGGTGAAAGACAATTCCGCCCTCACCAAACCTCTCTCCACGAATTCAGAGTACTTGAAAAACAAAGCGACTGAATCAGGACAAGTTGTGGACTTCAAAGACTGGCAGATAACACTAACAAGACGATTCCAAGCCTTGAAGTTATGGATGGTCCTAAGGAGCTATGGGGTGACTGGTTTGAGACAATTCTTAAGAAACCATGTGAAAATGGCGAAGGATTTCGAAATGATGGTGACCATGGACAGTAGGTTTGAGATTGTGGTACCTAGATACTTTTCTATGGTTTGTTTCAGGGTTTCTCCCCATGTTATAAATCCGCACCATGGCAACGATCATGAAGCAAATGAATTCAACAGAAAGTTATTGGAATCAGTAAATGCAACAGGGATTATTTACATGACGCATTCAATGGTTGAAGGAGTTTTTATTATCAGGTTTTCTGTGGGTGCAACTCTGACTGAAGATAGGCATATAAAGATGGCTTGGGAGTTGGTGCAGGATCAAGCAACTTCCCTGTTGGGTACACTAACACCAAAGGCGGATTCTAATGGTAAGAAGCCATCCAAGCAGATAGAAGACCACTCTATCTAATCACCTAAAAGAATAAATTCAACATATCATGTTCTCTATTACTATGTGATGTAATTAAAATAATGTGTATGTGAGGTTACAATAACCGCATTTATATAAAGATTTACTATCATATATCCAAGCTTTTTCAAATATACATTATAGTGTAAGATAATTTCATGTGACAAAATTCCAGATCAATATGTTGTCATATACACTACAAGAATCCACCACTATTCCGACAACACCTATTCCGACGACAATTGTCGTCGGGTACAAGTCGGGCTATACCGACGACATGTCATCGGAACCGGGTTGACCAAATACCAAGTTGACCAGTTTTTGAGATATCGTCTGTGTAAGTAGCGCACGGAAATAAAATTAAATCCCGCTTTATAAAAATCTATTCTGAAAAAATGTTGTCGACTCGTCGGTATAGATTTTATAAAAGTACGTTCTATTTTTGGATTTTAATGTCGCAGATAAATAAGAATGGTGTCGTTTCTTTGACTTCTATACAAACGACATGTCGTCGGGATAGAGGTGGGTCGATCCGCATGAATTGTTTTGCCGGTGATATGTCGTCGGAATAGATGTGTCGATCTGTGTGAACTTTGTCCCGACGACATGTCTTCGGCACAGGGTTAAACCTGAACGGATTATCAGTCTTATAGTTCAATTGCAACGCCGCACCCTACCTTTCTCTCTCGATCTCTTGGCAACAATTGACGTCGTCCGACCACCCTCCGTCCGATTTCACTGGTATTTTCTTTCCTCCTATTTTTGTTTGTTGATTTCGCAGATTTTGGATGGAATTTTGAGGTTTTTATGTTTCAATTTAGAGAAAAATGCGGCCACACAGTCTCCAGAAACCCTTCTGCGATGCGATTTACCTGCCACTCACCAGTATTTTGCTTCCCTTCGTCATACCTCTGCTGGTTTCATAGATTTTAGCCACATATTTGAGTTTGTTGAGTTTCAATTTGTGGAAATCCAGCCATTCGACGACCCTACCACTCATCTCCGGCCACTACTAAAGGCCACCAGGTAAACATAAACACATAATGTCCCTCTATTTCATATTTTTTCTGAATTTAATTGCCATTTTGAGTGTTTGATTTTTTTGTTTTGTTTTCTGATTTAGTGCGATTTTCCAGTGAGTAAACCATCATAGACCCCAGACTTCAGCTTTTCAGTGTTTTTCCGGTGGTCTATCCAGACGACATGTCGTTTGAATTGGTATATAATAATACTTTTTCTTTTTCCTCGAAAATCACTTCTGATGACTCTTTCCAGACGACATGTTGTCGGCATCGGTATGTGTCTACACTGACGACACCTATCCTGACGACTTTTTCCACTTTTACCGACGGGGCCATGCAGACGACTTTGTACGGATGAAAAATCGTCGGTATAATGGTCGAAAATGCCGTCGGTATAGACGAGAATCCTTGTAGTGATATATTAATTAACAAATTTGGTGTTAGATATTCCTTCCATAGATTCGTCGTGGAAAACTAAACTGAATTATATGATTAGAGAACAAAAGGAAGCAATGTGATTAATGTATTTATCCTTACAATCTCGTCAAAGTTTATGAAGGTGCAAATTAGCATAACTATTAATATAGCTCAAACATTATCTTAGTACATCATTTTTTTTCTATAAGATGGGAATCTTGTACTTATTTATCCTTTCCTATTTTATTGTGATATTATTCTTAATTTATATTAATATCTATAATATATTATTCAATATATGTTTATCATATCTTGAATTTCAAGAGTATAAGTGATAAAATTTTTTGTACAACTCTGCATAAACAATTTTAAAATACTGAATTCATATTTATAAATTAATTTATATGTTTTAAACTAAACATCTTTATTAATTAATTTACATTAATATTTGCCAAAAATTTAAAGACGTGAATTTAATTAGGAAAGTTATTAAGAGATTCAATTTGGAACAAAGTAACAATTTTAAAATACTGAATTCATATTTATAAATTAATTTATATGTTTTAAACTAAACATCTTTATTAATTAATTTACATCAATAGTATACACAAACAATATAAATAAAATGTATAAATATAAATATTTTATTTAAAATAGGTAAATGTTTATTACTTAATAACTAATAATAAAATCTAATAATTATTTCTCCATAAAAAGTTATTCACCAAAAAATCTATTTGTCACCGCTCCTTTGCACGAGTACATATCTAGTATTGATAATGAAAGATTATCTACAAGTGTGAAGATTTATCAAACCCTACATGGTATAAGCTTAAAAATATCCTACCATCATTAGTCAACTGTCGTCCATCCCTTCTCTTCCCTAGGGTTGTCAACGATAACAATGATTCATGATCCATCCTTCCATATCTCCACTCTCCTACATATGTTAACAATTAAACTCTCCTCCTACAACTACGTTATATGGCTAATCAAGTTCTTTTGCTCATATTATCTCAAAAACTAGTTAATTATATCTATGCCACTATCTTTTATCCATTCTCATAAATACAACTGATGCCAAAGCTACTCTTAATCCTACTTTTATCTCTTGAAAAGAAGACAAGCGGCGTGTTCTTACCCTTATTTAGTTATCTCTCTCTAGTTATCTATCTCCGAAGAATCGATCATAGAAGCCCTGGATTTATGTACAAGTCATGATATACGTATCCTTGAAGCCTTGTATAGTCATGACTATATTGAATGCATGCAGATATTATGAGTTTCCTCACACCAATTCCAAAAAGTTTCATCATCCATCTCTAATTATTGTTTCCAATTCAAGTCCTTTAGTGATCAAATTTCTAAAACTGTTTGTCCCATTAACAATATGGACAAATCCGGTTTTCTATGTGGTCTCGATCCCTCCTATGAGACATTCTTCATGCCTAATGGGTCTCTAAATCTGGACCTTGCTTATGTGATCACCTTTTTGAAGTTGAAGGACATGTGCTATTTCTCATAACAATGCTTGTCCCCAAGGTCCTCCAAATTTCCTTCATTCCAAATCAAAATCACACCTAGAATAACACATCAAGTTATGGTACATATTTATGTGGTCCCATTTGATCCTCCAACACTTGTGAGGATTTTTGGGAAGAAGTAGCCATGGTCATTGACCATCCCTTGTTAATTATGTCTTAATGATTTTAATTATGCTAAGTAGTGTTATTATCTTGCCTCATTCCCTATATGCCAGCATTTCCACTTCGTTCCATTCTTAATATCATGTCACTGAAAATTTACCCAACCAGTATGTTCATTACAACACATATGTCGTCGTCCACTTCAAATCTAAAATCAGCCGAAACTTAGTAATGACCATTTCAAAGATCAAACTACCATATCGGTCATTCATCTCTTCCCAAAATCTAAACTTCTTTGTTATCCCACATCGTACTAAAAATCTTATTTTCCTTAGTAAATTAACAAAAAATATGATGTGGAGCACATAGATGATCTGGTAGAAGCTTCTATGGATAAGTGGGAGAAAGATAAATGAAGCCTTACTTAAAATGGACATAACTTTTTATCCGTAAGGAATTTGGAGGCGTGCAATATACTGACAGAAAGGTATCGATATGATGGAGCTGCTAATATGTAGACAAAGTGGACACGCCCCATAGTCGACACTCAAATTGCACTATTTGGGCATGTAAATCTAAATTTTCTATATATTCGTCCCATTTCATACTTTTCTATGTCCCCTCATACTCTTTTCTCACTCCATCTCATACCTTCTCTTTCTTCAACCACATCTCTTTTTTGTTACTTTTTCATTGCCCCGTCTCATATCTTCTCACCTTCTTCATCTTTATTCTTACTTAGACCTAACGGGTCTAATAACTTATGATCGCTTCACCTATCATATATGAGAACAATTTCACTCTAACTTACTAGAGTACAACCATCCGGACTAAGTCCCTTCACGTTAATCCCACACGAATCCTTTAACTACTTCTCTTTTCTTGAATCCGTCACGGAATACAGTGACCCCTTACGAATCCTCTACACTTAATCCCCCATGGATTATATCAAGTTTCTCTAAAAAAACTTCTTACCTTGTTCCACTCATGGAACCCTTTCTCAACCTTCTATAACCATGTATAATCTTATCCCCATAGGAATCATCTATCTCTATTCCTGAAGGAATCATAATCTCATTTTTGAATGAATCATATATCTCATTCCTAAAGGAATCATAATCTCATTCCAAAAGAATCATCTATCTCATTCCCGAAGGAATCATCTTTCTACATTCTCATAATCTATCATGTGAATGTTATGGTCTCACCATAGTCTTACACATCACATGTCTCATCTCAATCGATATCGTCATCTCTTTAAGAGATCTTCTACTACCACTCTAGTACTTAACTCATTTGGTAGTTAATCTAAATCTTCATCTACTAGCATATAGGTATTTAACACAACACCAGTATCATCTAGCCACACATTTATATTCTATGTTCATATAATATATGATGGGTACTTATCACAATATCTTCTATATCTAACTACACATACATACTCTATCTTTATCTATTAGCTTGTAGGTATTTATATAATACCTTTTACATCTAATCATACCATTCACATTATATCTACATATAAAATATCTAGGGTATCTAACATAATACCACTAACATCTAACCATGATTACATGCTCATTCATAAGATTATAATACATATAATCATACTTTACCTTCATCTATTAGTCTATAAGTATTTAACACAATACCTTTAACATCTAATCATGCATACATAATCATTTACAAGTTTATAATTCATGTAATCATATTCTATCTTTACCTACAATCTGATGGGTATTTAACACAATACCATTAACATATAAGAATACATACATAATACCATAAACACATATATACATGCATACATAATTAAGTGAGAGAGTGAATTATAACTCACATTGTTAGTTAGTGCAAACTAACTACCCTTCTCTTTCATTCTTCAATTGATGTATCTTGCTCCATCTTCTTTTCTCAAGGTGTATTCATATAACATATCAAGTCCTTTAGAACTTCTTTAATCCTATTAAGATTTTAACCCATCATTATATCAAATTGATCAATAAATTGATCATAATTCTAACATCTCATCTTCTACCTCTAAATCTAATTAACCAAATGAATTAAGCATTCCATACTACCTAATTCAATTAAACTTTAAACTATAATGTATCAATTCATCCCTTTTATTAGTTAGGGTTTCAAACCTTAACTTTCCATATATGGATTTCACCATGAAAATCACGTATAAAGCTTGATTAATGTTTCTAAACACTCTAAGCAACATCATAATTGAGTTATAATCCTAATAACTCAAACTATCTAACCAAACTAAAATTTTCACCATTGAATATCAAAGCTTCATACAAAGGAGAAATCATTACCTCAAGAAGGAAATAATGTTAATCCTTGTAATCTACCATCTCTAGCTCCTCTTGTCAACATCTTGGCACCAAAATCACCACTCCTTAGCTCTCAATCGATTAGGAAGAGTTTTGGTCCAAGAATGAGCCCTTAACTGATTTAACTTTATTTACTAAACTGGGAAACTATGTCGCGGTAGTGACCCTAATGTGTGGTGGTGCACCTTATTAGGTTGCGGTCTCCCTATTGTCAAGCCAATGTACCTTTCCCTTTATAGCATCCTATTTTTGCCACCACGCCACGGTACCCTATAATACCACGTCCCGAGAAAGTATGTTGCCCTCTACTTACGATGAGTACCTCGTCCATTTACTACTCTGCATACCATGACGCAGCAAGATACTCATCGTGTTGTGGTGGTTGCACATCAACAATTTCCTTAGCTGATTCCATTCCAGCTTTGGGATGATTTTCTTCCAATCTTCTAAGACTCACATCTTCTTCGTTTGAAACCCGTTTTCTATGATCTATATATATCCATGCGAAGGTGGTGATGAATTCTACAACTCCATTGAGTCACTTCGAACAGACATTATACAATTCTTAATCTATTAAGTCACAAATTTGGCCCAAAAAACATAAAATTTTCATTTTACCCTTTTAAGCCTAAATGCACCATCTCTTGCATTTCTTCTCATGAACTCACTTGTCTCGTCTTATACATGTGACTTAAATTTATGTTGACCA